CCATTTATAAGTAGCATATACTATGTGTGTCTGTCTACTTCTGGGATACCTCACTCAGGAGGATCTTTTCTAGATCCCACCATTTGCCTGCAAATTTCATGATTTTCTTGTTTCTAATTGCTGAGTAGTATTCCATTGGTATAAATGTACCACAGTTTCTGTATCCATTCCTCAGTTGAGGGACATCTGGGTTTTTTCCAGGTTCTGGCTATTATGAATAAAGCTGCTACAAACATGGTTGAGGAAATGTACTTATTGTGTAATTGAGCATCTTTTGGATATATGCCTAGGAGTGGTATATATGGGAGGATTTTCTTTTCTGGCCTAATATATTAGGTGTTCTTTAGGTCTCTTATATGCTTATAGGCCTCTCCTGCAAGTTGGGGAAATTTTCTTCTATGATTTTGTTGAAAATATTTTCTGGACCTTGCAGACAGGAACCTTCTTTTTCCTCTGTTCCTATTATTCTTAGGTTTTGTCTTTTCATGTTGTCTTGGATTCCTTGAATGGTTTGTTTTTGGAATTTTTTACATTTATTATTTTCTTTGATGGATACAACAATTTCTTCCATTGTATTTTCCATACCTGAGATTCTTTGTTCCATCTCTTGTAGTCTGTTGGTTATCCTTACCTCTGTAGTTTCTGTTTTCTTTCCTAAATTCTCCCTCTCCATGATTTCTTCCATTTGTGTTTTCTTTAATTTTTCCAATTCTATCTTCAGGTCTTCAACCATTTTGTTGAATTCCTTTACCTGTCTGACTGTATTTTCCTTTTTTTTCTTCAATTCCTTCACCTGTTTGTTTGAACATTCCTGTGTTTCTTTTATTTCTTTCAGTGATTTAATCATTTCCTCTCTGAAAGCCACAAACACTGTTTGACTGCATCTTCCTGTATTTCTTTACAGATGCCTAAAATCTGTTTGATTATATCTTCCTCTAATTCTTTACCCATTTTATTTGTTTCTTCCATTAACCTCTTCATAAGCATAGATGTAAGGCCATCTTATTGAATTTCACTTATGTTATGGTGTCCAGGGCTACTTACCCCCTGATACCTGGGTTCTGGGGATGTGATACTGCTTTGCTTTTTGTTGGTTGTGCTTTTACGATGGACTCTACCCATCTGTCCATCTCAGGTGTTGTCTGTTAATTTGTGGTGCCTGCTGGAGTCCTGGGGTGGGGAGAATTCCCTTGGCAGGGTTCTGAAGGAGATCTCCTCAGCTCTTTGAGTATGGTCAACTGAATGGTGGTGCTTCTCAGGAGTTGTCACATTTCACCTCAGACATATGGACCTGTGTAGTCACTGTGGTGTTCAGGAGGGCTCTCCTTTCATCAGGAGAAGTCCTGAAGATGGCTGTCCTGCTGCTGGGTTTCTTGCTCTGAGTTTAGTGAGCTGCTGCTGCTGCTCTTAAGCTGTATTTGCTCAGTACAGCCCTCATGAAAAATCAGAGTCCCATGGTTTCATCAGTTTAGCTAGGGATAACTGGTCGTACCTTGGAGCAGTATCTGAGGGCTGCTCCCATGGCTCTCAGGCTTTTCTAGGTCTGAGGTTGGAGAGGTGTGCCCCAGTACCCTAACCGTAATCAGTTACAGGTGAGCATAGCACTTGTGTGTGCAGTAGAAGGCCAGAGCTTAGAACCTGTGAAAACCCAGAAACTTTTCTTGGGCTGGGTGTCCTGAGGTTTGGAACCGAATCTGTGGTCTTTTGGGGTCCACAGGTCTGTCTGGAATGGCGCGTACATCAAGCAGGCACAGGCGTGTGGCTCTGCCTTTTTGTCAACTGGGCATCAGGGTGCTTGCAGGAACTCAGGGACTTTTCCTGAGAACTTTTTTTTTTTGGGGGGGGGGAGTGTCGGCTGAGTGCTCTGAGGTCAGACCTGCTGTTCCCCTCACTGTGGGCTTCCACCTGACAGAGAAAGTCAGTAGCTGGTGCCCTGGGGCCCTCAGTTCTGTCTGGTATATTGAGTCGAGCAGAGTGTGCAGGCAGGACTCTGTGCTGGCGGGTAAGCTTCCCATTTTGTGCTGGCATCTGGACACCCGCTGGACCCAGGTCTTTTTCCAGAGATTGTATGGGTGACCTAAGGTCAGTCCCGATCATTTCCTGCACCGTTGGGTTTTCTTTTGACTGGAAAATCCAGTCTCTGGTGTTGTGGGGCCCATAGTTAAGTCTGTGACAGTAATCAGAGTAAGCTGGCGGCTTTGACTCTGGGCTGAAGACTGACTGCCTGGTGGGACCTGGGAACTGTTCTGTGGTTTAGCTGGATGACCTGAAGCTGATTGAATCCCACACAATGGGGTTTCCTCTCACCTGGGAAACACAGTCCCTGTTTTAGGGCCTAGAGTTATATCTGCTGGTCACTTTGCAGATCTTGCTGTGATGCCAGTCAGAAAAGAGTGTCCTCCTGGCGCCACCGTCTTGGATCTCCCTCCAGAATACCCTCCTATTGATTTTTTTAATAAATTACAGTTTATTGACTTTGTATCCCCGCTGTAGCCCCCTCCCTCATCTTCTCCCAATCCTACCCTCCCTCTCTCCCTCATCTCTTCCCCTGCCCCTGCCCCAGTACACTGATAGGGGAGGTCCTCCTTCCATTCTCTCTAACCCTAGCCTATCAGGTCTCATCAAGACTGTCTGCATTGTTTTCCTCTGTGTCATGGTAAGGGTGCTCCCCCCTCAGGGGGAGGTGTTAAAACAGCGAGACACTGAGTTCATGTTAGAGACAGTCCCTATCCTATTACTAGGAAACACACTTGAAGAGTGAGCTGCCATGGGCTACATCAGAGGTTCTAGGTTATCTCCATGCATGGTCCTTGATTGGAGATTCAGTGTCAGAAAAGACCCCTGTGTTCAGATTTTTGGTTCTGTTCCTTTCCTTGTGGAACTCCTGTCCCCTCCAGGTGTTTGTATCTCCCCCTTCTTTCATACGATTCCCTACACTCTGCCCAAAATTTGGCTATCAGTCTCAGCATCTCCTTGGATACCTTGCTGTGTAGAGTCTTTCAAAGGCCCTTTGTAGTAGGCTTCTCTCTCGTTCCATTTTCTCCCTCTTCCAATGTCTGTCTTGTTATAGCACTCCTTGGCATATATCCAAAATATGCTCAAGTATACAACAAGGACTTTTGCTCAACCATGTTCATAGCAGCTTTATTCATAATAGCCAGAATGTGGAAACAACCTAGATGGCCCTCAACTGAGGAATAGATATAGAAATTGTGGAACATTTACATAATAGAATACTACTTAGTAATTTAAAAAAAAAAAAAGAAATCATGAAATTTGCAGGCAAATGGTGTGATCTAGAAAAGATCATCCTGAGTGAGGTATCCCAGAAGCAGAAAGACACACATGGTATGTACTCACTTATAAGTGGATATTAGACATATAATATAGGGTAAACATAATAAAATCTGTACACCTAAAGAAGCTAAGCAAGAAGGAGGACCCTGAGTAAGATGATCAATCCTTGTGCAGAAAGGCAAACAGTTCTTATGTATGAAATCCTCAACAACAAATTAAGGCACTGTGTATACCTTCCTGGAGTTTGATGACACCTATGGGCTGTTTGTAGGATGACATGGTGCCTGCGTATTGGGAAGATACATCTTGGGTGGGCGGCATCTTGGGAAGACAAGCCTGGCAGTATCTGGAGGAACCCTTTTGCTTTTGAAATTGTGAAGGGTTTTGCACACTCAGCACTGGAGCTGCATGCATGATGCAGTCAGTGATGAGTCTTCTAGGAAGCTTACTGTGATCTTCAGTTAGGGCTGGGCTTTTTTGTTTTGACTCTGTCAAAGGTCTTTATGATTTTTTCTATTATTATTTACAATTTATTCACTTTGTATGCCAGCTTTATCTCCTCCCTCTTCTCCTACCAGTTTCACCCTCCCTCTGTCTTCCCCCCTTTCCTCTCCCCTGGTCCACCTATAGTGGAGATCCTTCTTCTCTATTCTCTGACTCTAGCCTCTCAGGAGGTTTCATCAGGACTGCCTGGATCCTCCAGCAGTGATAATTAGCATCTTGTTAGGCATGTCTTCCCTCTCATCTCCTCTGTCTTGTGAGAAACATTGTGATAAGGAGTCTTTGCAGGGCAAGGGGCAGTATGGAAGCAAAATGTAGGAGACAGGCAGTGGGACCTAATACATGCACTCACAGAGACTGTGGCAGCAAAAGGCCCACATAGGTTCAAGCCAGATGCTTCCCAACACTGAGAAGAAGTGTCAAAGCTGACCACTTGGGACTGTAAAACCTATCAGGGTGTTTCTTTCCCTGCAAAGACTGATTCTTGCTCTCAGCAGCCATTGGCTGCCTGAAGTTCCTCATCTGAGAGTGGAGCCTTGTGAAATTTTTCCATGTATGCTGGCATATGAGCTCAGATTGTCATTGTTCGGGCAGCCACACAGCTACAGTTTCATGGCTTTAGGTTCCCCGTCATGTACAGAAGACACTATCTAACTCTAGTCCTAGCTTTCCGTCCCATGCTCTACCCTACTCAAGAAGCCGTTTGCCATTGATTCTCACTGGCAAAGGGAAAATCAGTTTTCCCCAGTGGAGTGTCTTGGGTACATCAACCACTCAAGTCAGACCCCCGCCCATGAATAGTTGGCCAACATGAATTGGACTCCATGTCTTTTGGGGAGGTTTAGTGGGTTTTTAGTTTATGTTTTTGTTTCATTAAAGTTAGGTAGGTTCAGATGTGCGGAGGATCTGGGAGGAGTTGGGAGTTGAGAAAACACGTTTAAAATAAAGTGTATTTTCTTTCATACAATGTATGAAAGAAATTTTAATAAAAAGAAAAAATAATAGTGAAAAATCAGAGCTTAATTCAAAGTTCCTCACAATCTCCTTTAACTGGAGTAAAATGTCCCAGAATTCACACCGTAGCATGGACCTTCAGTAACTCAACTGCTGTCTTCCCCACAGCAGAGGCTGGTCTGTGAAGGCAAAGCCCTCCTCTTCACATGCTCTCCCCAGTCACTCCTTCCTGCTTGCTGTCCAGCAGCTCACACGATAGGGTAAGAAGCTTCGGTAGCAATTCCACAGTGGTTGTTCCGGTCTTTGGCCATCTTTATGTAGCCATTCAGGCCCCAATATTTACCCCAGCTGGAAGAATAGGTTAGTCATTTAGTAGAGAGACACAGCAAAGAAGCTTCATTATATTGAGTCTCCACTGAAACACAGAGACTGAGGCCACACAGAACAGACAGGATGAAAGAGGGCACAGAGTCAACTCTCAGACACCAACTGTTGAATCAATCACTTGAGTTTGGGAATCACAGCAGAGAAAACACAGGCCATCTCCACAGCCACATTTGGCTCAGAACTAGAAATGCAGTGGTTCAAATTCTATTTTAACACTCCCCAAACCATGCCAGAATCTTATCATGATTACTGCACCCTGAAACTTCTGTATTCAAAATATGTGGGGTAAATTGCTAAAACCTGCACCCAAATACTGCCTACAAACAGTATTTTTCCCTTAGTGTTTCTGGATGTTTATACCTGTTCTTGACCAGCCAGTATTTCCTGCCATCTAATTCTTCACCATAGCCAACCACCAGGACAGCGTGATCCAGACGAGTGCTGCTACACTCTGGCTCATAATACACGCCTGAAAGAGAAAAATCAAAGCCAGAATGAGAGGCTCCATTAACCCCACAGTGACCGTATCACCAACAGTCATGGAAATGTCTCTAATTTCAATGTAATGATGTATACCCCAGATAGGACTGATTTGGTGTTAGTAAGGGTTGGGACATCAGCTCTTATGTAACATAACAAAAGTAAAGATTAGCATAAATTCTCAGGGGAAACACTTGCTTCAAAGGAGGTAAGAAACCTCAACCTGCTTCTAAAATGTGCGTCCAAGGAAACAACATGAAAAACAAAACTATGGGAGTCAAGAAGCATCCTGGGACTGAACTACAGAAATGGAATATTTGTTTAAAGTCTTAAAAATTAAGCAACTGCAGAAAATTCAGTCAAAGCAAGTCACACAAAACCTGATCCTGCTAATTTAATAAAACAATGGTGGGCACATGCTAATGAGATTGTTCTTAATGACAAGTGGAAACAATACATAAATACTGCTCTTGTTGAATGTAGTATCTACAACTCAAAATATTTACATCAATTTTGGAGTCATTGAGATGATGAGCTGTGGGAGAGGCTTAACTCTTGCTTCTGCTGACTGAAAAGGAAGGCCCTTACCAGCCCGATAGAACTGGAACGAATTGTGCTTAGTGTCAATTCCAACTGAGATGGGCCCCACAGAGGCCACAGCCTTCATTAGGGTAGCTTCACTTGATGGGAGTGTCACAAACCCCTTGACGTTAGCAGCAGAATTTTCAGGATTGTACCTGCAGGTTCCATTCTTTGAAAGACAAAAGAGAAAAAAAAAATAAAAGTTACTGCTATCTACCTCCTGGGAAACATGAGTCAGAATTACAACTCAGCTGAGTTGTCATCCACATGGGTGACTAACACTCCTTACTGTGGACCTTCAAGTAGATGTGTTTATAAAATGTCACAGGACCTGACAAGCTGGTAGATGCCAGTGGCTAATGGAAGCTACCTCATGTGTCTTCTACTACACTCCATATATATTCCTACTGATAATAAATTTTCACAGTGGAGAAATGTGTCTTATTTGTAGAATGGTTTGCATGTATACACACAGAAGTAGAGGACGCTACACAGAAACCACGGAATCATACCAGTATGTAAAGAATGCTCCACTGGCAGCATTTAGGATGTAATAGCATGGATTCTATCATGGAAAGATGAGTTCTTAGGACAGTACACTGTCCGCACAATGTTCTGCTTTGTAAAATCTAAGATGGAACAACAACATAGGACTCTACTTACCAGTGCTTCATATGGATAGGACATACTGGTGTCCAAGCCTCCATTATCCTTCACATACTGGAAGGCAAACTCTGGTAAGCCACCATCACAACCATGGTTCCCTTGTGACCAGGAGCAGTCCACTAGGTTCTGTTCACTCAGAGGGACCAGTTTGCCTGTTTTACGGAACATCTGTCCTACCAGGGAACCAACTGCACTAAATGCCCAACAAGAGCCACAAGGACCCTAGAAGAGAGAGAAAATGCTGTCACCCACACAATTAATACAGGTGTTTCAAAGCAATACACATGACATGATAATTTCACAAGCAGTGAACTGCGTGAAGCTCCACAGTCAGCAAGACTTCCTGGCTCCACGGTGGACAGTGAGTGATACCTGACAATGTGCTGTGTCCTACCTGATTCTTCACAGGAGCCACATAGCCATGATCTCTCCAATCCACAGACTTTGGGACATCTCCCAGCAAAGGCTCCTGGAAAAGGTTCTGCTCCTTGGGTCCCATGCTTTGAAAGCCAGTCATCAATTCTCTGAATTCTATATTGGTCTTCAAGAAAAAAGAGACAAATCATTGCAAAGAGAGAGATGACTTACAAGGTACCAAAGGAAGGAAGTATGATGTGCTGCAACCCATGTCACACTCACCAGATCCCCAAAGGCATTCATCTCCAGGCTGAAGCCATGCTTCCCCTGAAGATAGTCCTGATTGTGCAGCTCAATCATTTTCATGTTGTTCTCCCACACTGCTCTCTTCTGTCCTTCTTCACTCTGGAATAAACACAGTGTGTGGTGTGTCAAGCCCAATCCTATAGTTCCCTCACTGGCCCTGCTGCTACAGGTAATAAGAACCAAGGGAAGCTAGAATCCAGACCCTATGTCAATAGGGTATTTAGACATTAGTGTCCATAAAGCATGCCATGTGGTCAAGCCGGGGAGGAACTGGCTTCCACAATGCAAACTCTCTATAAACTTGCCCCAGCAAGGACCATTGTCTCTGTGTTGCCTCTGGACATTTCTATGGTACCAACCATATGGTATGTTTTCCCATGTTTTGTCTTCCATTCCTGCCATACAGCATCGAAACTGGGATTGTGTGTTGGAGCAGCTGAGACCACCTCCAAGCAAAGAGTGGCCAGGAAGAAAATTGGAATCATGCTTCCAAAACCTAGAGATGATGAAAAAATGAGGTTCCAATGACATCAGTGCTTCAATAAAATCACATTTCTACCTCAGTTATTCAGGCTGCCATAGTAGAATAAAATTATTTGACCTATTCTAGTCAAAGATTTACCTGAAGATTGATGAAAAGCATAAGAATTCATTTGTTTCAAGCACACATGTATGGGAATTCATTTAGCTAAAAAGAATAATAAGAGGAGGAGCCTTGTGGAACTCCTGTTCGAGCTCCACAAGGACCCAATATATCTGGGCACAGGGGTCTTTCATGAGACTGTTTCTCCAACAAAGGACCATGTATGGATATAACCTAGAACCCTTGCCTGGATATAGCCCATGGTAGCTCAGTATCCAAGTGGGTTCTCTAGTAAGGGGAACAGGGACTATTTCTGACATGAACTCGATGGCAAGCTCTTCAAACCCCCACCCCGAGGGAGGAGCAGACTTGCTAGGCTACAGAAGAGGACATTGCAGCCAGTACTGAAGAGACCTGATAAGCTAGGGTCATATGGAATGGAAGGAGGTCCTCCCCTATCAGGGAACTTGGAAAGGGGCAGGGAGGAGATGAGGGAGGGAGGGTGGGATTGGGAGGGAATGAGGGAGAGGGCTGTGGCTGGGATACAAAGTAAATAAGCTGTGATTAATATTAAAAAATAAAAAATAAAAATAAAATAAAAAAGAAGAGGAGGAGGAGGAGGAGGAGGAGGAGAACATGCCCAGGGCTCAAGAAGTGCACTGTGTCAGTCTCAGTCTTTTCTGAGACTGATATTCCAACCAAGGACCATGCATGGAGATAAGCTAGAATCCCTGCATAGATGTAGTCTATGGCAGCTCAGTCTCCAAATGGGCTTCCTAGTAAGGGGAACAGGGGCTGTCTTTGACATGAGCTCAGTGGCTGGCTCTTTGATCACCTTCTCCTGAAGGGGTAGGGGCAGCCTTATCAGGCCACAGAGGAAGACTATAAAAGACTGTCCTGATGAGACCAAATAGACTAGGGTCAGGTGGATGGGAAGGAGGTCCTCCCCTATCAGTGAACTGTGGAAGAGGCATGGGAGGAGATGAGGGAGGGGGATACAGCTGGTATACAAAGTGAATAAATTGTAATAAATTAAAATTTATATAAAAAAGAAGTGCACTGTGCACTTAGCTCACCACAGGGTCTAGCTTCACCTTGTGGATAAGAAGCTTAAAGAAATAACTAGTTTATTAAGAGGTAGCTGGCTTGGGTTTCCTGCCTTTGATAATGAGTTCACCCAAGTTACACTTGACTTATACAAAGTGTGATCCACAGAATACACAAACAGCTGCAAGAATTGGGACTCTCCAGACACCTTTTTCCTGGCCAGTATACCCAGGATAGAGACTATGCCTTGGCTCTTTCCCTTCTGAAATCTTTCTGAAAGATTTCCTCTCGAGGAAATCTTGGAAGATCAACATTTAGGAATCTGTCTGCCCCATAGCTGTCTTCAGAATTCCACCTCAATGTCTCAGTGTCTCAGTTAGGATAGGTCACAAGGCTAAGCCACTGGATGACAGAGCCACCTGTAATAGTGCAGGATTGAAGGATAGATTAGACCAGAATTCCAGGCCTAAGTCATATAAGTTTTTTGGTACGACACTCCAGATATGGCAGTTTACAGGAGGCATGGAACATGCTATGTCTCCTGGGCCTGACAGATTAGACCAATGGATTATACTTGGCAGTGATATGCATAAGGTTGATGCCTGTGGTGACTGGAGTTATGTCCATGGCACCTAAAGTTTAGGGGACAAGTTGGTATTTCCTGTGTCTGGATCTTGAAATTCAATTTACTTGGCCACTAAACAATATTGTTCCCCTGAAAAGTCTGGTGACGTCCTGGGCTTCCCCGCCCAACCTCCTCTGCATCCCCACCTTCGGTCTGCTAAGGTTGAGTTGATACTGTCATTCCTGAGGTAGCTGCATGATGCTACAAGGAGGCTCTCTAGGGTGCTCCTCCAGTGTCAGTTCCCAGTCTGCCTTGATAGAGCTATGGGCTCACCTGGGATGTCCAGCGCTGGGCAGCTGTGCTTCACAGTCTCCGGTCTTCAGCGGTTGCTGAGATCCTAGGCTGTGACCCAGCTGCATGTGGATCCAGGCTTTAAGTCCCAAGTCTGTGGCTCCAGGACAATGTCCCTGCCCAGTTTTCCCTCCCTGCAATTGGCTGGGTGGGCAACTGGTCTGGATCTCCAGGCCGTGTGATTGCAGGCATGTATTGACACTGACTCCCACCCTGTCCTGGGGCCTTGGGTGTGTGCTGCCTAGGTGGACTGTGGGAAAGGCAGCAGTGGATTTCTGCTGTAGGAAAGCAGAGTTTGTGAGTCTAGTGACTTCAGCTGAGAAAGTGCTATCACAGAGGCCTTGGTACTTGGTTCATGATGGAAGGTTCTAGCTAACTGGGTGTGGATTTACAACCTAACCCTGCCTTTGTCTTAAAGTTTGAATTTTGGGTATATGCCTAGGAGTGGTATAGTTGGATCTTGAGGTAGCACTATTCCTAATTTTCTGAGGAAGCTCCAGATTTATTTCCAAAGTGGTTGTACAAGTTTACATTCCCACCAGCAATGGAGGAGCATTCCCCCTTCTCCAGATCCTCTCTAGCTTGCATAGTCCCTTTCGTGTTTTGTTTGTTTGTTTTAAAAAATATATTCTTTTATTTTCTTATTATTTATTCATTTTACATCCCTATTGCAGCCCATTCACTTCTCTCCTCCAGATCTCACCCTCCCACGCTCATTTTCCTTTCCCCCATCCCTTCTCCTCAGGAAAGGGACCTTCCCCCAGTACTAATCACCACTGACACCTCTCTCTTCCCCACTCCCAACCTCCCCACAGGCACATCATATCATAATTGAGTGAATTCTCTTCCACTGAGGCCAGACATGGCAGCCCAGCTAGGTGAAAGTTATCCAAAATCAGCAACAGAGTCTGTGTCAGAAACAGCCCCCTCTTCACTTGCTTGGTGAACCACATGAAGACTTAGCTTCCTGTTAGCTACATATATACAAGGGGCTTAGGTCCAGTCCATGTTTGCTCTTTGGTTAGTAGTTTAGTCTCTGAGAGTGCCTATGGGCCTAGGTTAGTTGACTTTGTTCGTTTTCTTTCGGAGTTCTTGTTTCCTCCAGGTCCCTCTATCCCTCCCCCAACTCTTTCACAAGACTCCCTGAACCCCACCTAATGTTTGGCTGTGGGGTCTCAGCTTGTTTTGATCCATTGTTGGATGGATCCTCTCAGAGGAGAGTTATCCTAATCTCCTGTCTATAAGCATTGCAGAATATCATTAATAGTGCCAGGAGTGGGCTTTCTCCCATGGGGTGGTTCTCAAGTTGGGCAAGTCATTGTTTGGCCATTCCATCAATCTCTGCTCCATCTTTTCCCCTGCACATCTGGTAGACAATGTAAATTTTGGGTTGAAGGTTTTGTGGGTGGGTTGGTGTCCCTGTTCCTCAACTGGCTCAGTGTTTAAGAGTACTGACTGCTTCTCCAGAGGTTCTGAGTTCAATTCCTAGCATGGTGGCTTACAACCATCTGTAATGTAATCGGATTCACACTTTTGGTGTGTACAAAATATATTCTTAACAGTGATTCCAAAGCCAAAGTTAGTTCATCTCAACATTGTTAATATATGCAAACATATATTAAATTGACCAAGCCAAAAGATTTTGTGTATAGAGGTCAACCCTGAAAGTGATCCTTTAATTTTACATTTTACGTTTGTCTAACAAAATCTGTTCCATAATTTTTAATTTAATAAAATGGTATTTTAAGCTATCTTTAGGTGGTCCCTTGAGTTTTTGATCTTAGCCATTCTGATGGGTATGAGGTGAAATATCAGAATTCTTTTTATTTGCATTTCCTGAATGACTAAAGATGTTGAGCATTTCTTTAAGTGTTTCTCTGCCATTTGATATTTCTCTGTTGAGGATTCTCTGTTTAGCTCTGTACCCCAGTTTTTAATTGGATTACTTGGGGGACTGCAGAGACAGTAATCCAACTAAGGACCATACATGGAGGGGACTCAGACCCCTTGTTCAAAGGAAGCCCATTGGCTGCTCAGTTTCCAAGTGTGCTCTCTACTAAGGGGTATGGTGGCTGTCTCTGACATGAACTCAGTAGCCTGGCTCTTTGATCACCTTCTTTTGGGGGTGCAGCCTTGTCAGGCCACAGAGGAAGGTGATGCAGCCAGCCTTGATGAGACCTGATAAGCTAGGATCAGATACAAAGAGAGGAGGTCCTACCCTATCAGGAGACTAGGAAAGGGGCATAGAGGAAGAATTGGGAGAGTGGGTGGGCCTGGGAGGAGACAAGGGAGGGGCTGCAGCAGGGATACAAAGTGGATAATTGTAATAAATAAATATATACATTAAATTAAAGTAAAAACAATTAAATGAAAATTGAGAAACTGAGAAGCAAAATGAGAATAAGTACATAAAAACAATTCCCTTAGATGAAGTTAAGAACAAAATAATGTTGAAGGTGGGACTTTCGGGAAACAGCAAATTGCGAAAACCTATAAAGTCAGTAACTCAAGTAGGCATATAAACAAGTACACTCACTCAAAAATGCTAGAGAACATGCATTGCCATTACAAGCTGTTCTAAAAGAGTTACAGGGAACTTAGCAATGATGTTATTTGAAGAAAAGAAATGAGATGTGGAGGAGCTAGGCTCAGTGCTATATATTTTTAGCTGACTCTACACAAACGTATAGGTACTGTATGTAGATCAAGATAGATGTTAGCACAGCTATGTACACATATAAACCTTTGAGCATTTACTTAAGTGTTTAACGTATCTGTGTGTGAGTATGTGAATGTGTACCTCTAGGTATGTTTCTAAGTGTGTATATGTCTGTACATGCATATATATGCCTGGATGTATATGTGCTGTGTGCATATCTATGACTGCATATGAATTTACGTATCTGTGAACATCTTTATGTCTTTCCCATTGGGCATAT